CAGCTTTAAGTATAAGAAAGTATACCCTAAATTAATTACATAGGTGTACTTTAGTATTATACCTTTATACATAAAATTACGCATGTACAATTTTCAATAATCTCCCTCAAGCTGGTGAATACACATTATCCACTCCTAGCTTGGTAATGATTACTGGGAACAATGCAAAGTTCAAGCCTTTAGTAAATACATTTGCGACTTGAATATTTGGTAGACATGTAGGATGCACATATCAAACCATTATCTATTTTATCCTTGATAAAATGTCCGTCACCTTCAATATGTTTATTATGTTATACTGTATTGGATTGTGGGCGATGCTGATTGCTTATTTATTGTCAAAACAAAGTCTTATCGGATCATCCCAGTTGATCCTTAGGTGTTCCAGGATCATTTTTAAGCATAACAGTTCACAGACCCCGTGATTCATTGCTCAAATTCATTTTCTATGCTAGACCTACACTAGCTCTTACCACCATATTCTGTTTTTTGCTCCTCCAAGATATGTGCAATAATCTGTAGTAGATCTTCTATCATTATTCATTCAACATAGTCAGTGTTATTATAGGTTTAAAAGAGTAACATGTTATTCTTTCTGAACATGAAATCCTTTTTTGGTGTTTCGTTTAGGTAATATGGCACTCTCGATGCTACCTGTAAATGCATTGATTGTGCATAATTGACTTATAATTCTTATTACATAAGTAATGTCTGGTTTTGTGTGTAACAGATAGATAATTCTTTCAATTAGTTTCTAATAAATTTCCTTGTTGAATTGTTATGTCTTCCTTTGTTAATCCCAGTTTATGGTTGGGATCAATTTGTGTGTTAAAAGGTTTGCATGCTAAATTATTAATATACTTTTGCTGTGAGATGAAAATTATGACTTTTAAATAAGTCCTTCAATTCTAAGGAAGTATTTTAGTCTTCTAGGTCTTTAATTTCAAATTCTTTGACCAATCATGGTTTGAGCATTAATTTCTCTTTTTCATCATCATGTGTCACAATTATGTCATTGACATAGACAAGGAAAGCTGTAATTCCCCCTGAATTTGAGTGCTTGATGAACATAGTGTGGTCTCCTTGACTTGTAATGTATGCCGTTGTCAACATCATCTTTGTAAGTCGTCCAAATTATGTTCTTGGAGACTATTTGAGTCCATAAATAGTATTTTTTTATTTACAAACTTTGTTTGCTCTTACAATTTTTGTGAACTCTGGTGAGATTCATATAAATTTCCTCTTGGAGATCTCCATACAAAAAGATATTATTCACATTAAATTGTTACAATTGCTAATCAAAGTTGGCAATTATGGACAATATGACTTGGACTATGTTCACCTTGACAATAGGTGGAAAATTTTCTTGATAGCCTATCCATGTTTGGGTATATTCATTGGCCATATTCTTGCTTTGTATCTCTCTATAGTACCTTCAACTTTGTAATTTATGATGAACATCCATTTGCATCCCACAAGTTTGTTTCCCTTAGGTAGATCCACCACCTCTCATATTTGATTTTTTTTTTTTCAATATCTGCATTCAATATGAATTATTGCATTTCTCACAAGACAATGCTTTAGACAATGTGTTAGGGATAAATATTGTATTTAAACTCATAAAAAGCTTTTTGTGCAATAGAAATACCTGTCAAATGGCACAAATTTTGAAATTAAATTGAGGGAATGTTTTGTACATTCCATAGTCCTTTTTGGAATTGTAATAGGTCTATTAACATCAAAGGGTAAAGGATTTTTAGAAGTTAGCTCATTCCCAGGACATTCAGATACTTGAAACTTGGTTCATTTCATTATTTAGATTCTTCCTTATTGAGTACACCTGAGAGAATCTTAGGTCATGTACTGTAACTGGTGTGGGTTCTCATTTTTTGGGTTTTGGGTAACCGAGGAGAGGTAGTTGTTGTGGTGTAAAAGGCGGAGATTGTGGTGTAAGATGCAATGGAATATAAAAAAAGAACAAATTCTTATATTCTGATACAAGCTCTCCCAAAAGATAAGGTTGATTGCAGCAAGACTAAGGTTTTCAACAAATGGTACATCCACAAATACATGAAAAAAATTTTGATGGGAGAATGGTGACATTTATAGCTCTTTTGTCTGGAAAAGTATTCCACAAACACACACTTTATGGTTCTAGTTTCGCTTTGATATTGATATATGTGAAAAAAAAATATATTTAAATATTCCAGGGATAAGATGATTTGTGACACTGATATCTAGAAAAAAAAGTAGAAAAGACTTCCATGGAACTCTGAAAATCCAACACTCTAAAAGGTAGGCGGCAGTGAAAGAACTTGCTGCAAATACTGTTTAGGCACATTGTTTTAGAACAAGAAGGCTTAAGTAGTGGCAAGTAAGTGCATGTTTATTCTTTCTGTCACTCAATTTTGTTGTGGAGTGTGGACACTAGAAGACTCTTAACAACTCCTTCTAGATGGAAAACTGAGGATGGTGTTTGATTGAAAAAATCTTTAGCGACTTCAACAGATAGCAGCCATTTACCTTAATCGTTTCTCTTCCCATCAATTTGTTAATGGTCAAAATGCACCCTCTAACGGCTTCCTATCCAAAGAAATCAACTTTGAAAGAGATTTTAACCTTCCGTATTTCTCTTAAAAGAAACCTGGTACCAACGTTGTCATGCTTAGCCAGATACTTGTTGAAAGATCTAACCGAAAAGGATCCTGTAGTAGTGAGACTCTACACCGGTACCATCCAATAACACGATGGATAGAGAGCTTAGGAGATTTTCATACTCATTACCCAATCATTAAGGTTTCTCAGTATATTTACATATTCTTCCCTTTCCCCCTTTCCCTAACTCTCTGAATGATTCACTAACCACAATACTCTTCTATTTTACAAGGCAAAAATCTGAGGCTACTGCTATCTAAGGGCTCCATGTTCCAGTCATGGATCTTGCCAAAATCTGATTCTGTCTCCCTTGCCAACCCACCATCTAATGCAAACCTGGAACTTGTTCATGCCCATGCAAATTTTTGTCCATATTTCTTTCCCATGCAATCTTGCCAAGGCCCTAGTATACCATCCTCTCTCATCTGTTCCGAACTTCGCTTCTATCACTTTCTTCATAGTGTACCTTCTTCTTTCATAAATCTCCAAAGCCATTTATCCTGAAAAGTTATGCTAATTTCCACAAAAGATCTTAACTCCAAACCTCTCTGAGGTATTAGCTTCTTAATCTCATCCCAGGCTACCAAATGGTATTTTCTTCTTTCCTCCCAATCGCCTCATAGGAATCTGCATTGAATGGCTCTCAATCTTTTGGCAACACTCACCGAAATAGTCAAGGACATATAATAAATGGGTAGCTTAACCAGTGTGTTTTTTATGAGTGAGTCTCCCCCTTTTGGAGAGAAGAGTTCTCTTCCATCTTTCTAAGGTCTTCTCAAACCTGGCCATCACAGGATTCCACATCCCCACCTCTTTGTAATTGGCTTCGAGTGGTAATCCCAAATATTTAATTGGTAATTTTACTACTTTACAACCCATAACTTTCTCCTGTCTATCAATATCTTTCTCATCACCCAGTCTAACTAGCTCAAACTTGGTTAGATTAATGCTGAGTCCCGATTGAATTCTCATCAAAATACACCTGAGATTGAGCATTGCCCGCTCGTCCAGCTGACAGATAAACATATTATCATCTGCAAAAAATAAATGAGTTACCTCTTCAGCGTGTTTCTCTGCTCCCACTTTAGGATCTCTGAATAATTTTAACTCCCTGGTTCTTATTAACATCTTATTTAAAGCTTCCATTACCATAATAAAAAGTAATGGAGACAATAGATCCCCTGTCTGAGACCTTTGGAAGTCTTGAAAATAGAAGATGGACCTCATTGACCATAACCACAGAAGATGTGGTGGATATGTGGGACTTGGTCTATCCGCACCATTTTTCCTCAAATTCCATTCTCATTAGTAGATAATCTAAAAAGCTCCAATTTATATTATCATACTCTTTCTTCATGTCAAGTTTACATGTGACCCCTTTGTCTTCCTGTATAACAATTCGTCCACCATGTCATTAGCAACAAGTGCAGCATCAAGAATTCACCTGTCTCCCACAAAAAGTATGTTGGCACTCAGGTACCACCTTATCCATTACATTAGACATTCTTTTGGTGATTTGCTATGAGCTTGTAATGCTTCTAACTTAGCTTATTTGGGCTAAAATCCTTAACATTGCGTGGCCCTCCCTCCTTAGTAATGAGTACCAAAAAGGATGAGTTTAGAGATCTAACAAAGGACCCAAATTCGTGTAGTTCTTTAAGGAGTTCTAGAATGTCCTTCATAATGTGCCTACATTCCTAAAGAAAGCCCATGTTAAAGTAATCTGGGTCAGGAATGTTGTCCCTTTTGCACTACACTGTGTTGGACCTTGTCCCTTTTATTGGCCAAATCTTTTTTTTCTCTTTTGAAATAATAAAATCTGGCAAAGGCTTTTTCTAATAATGTATGTATATTTACATTTCCTCATCAAAGCGTCTCATTAACTGCCTTGTGCAGTTATGTAACCGAATTGGACACTACTAGATGTGTACTGTCAATTTGGCCACAGGCATGATGAATAACTTGTGTAAAGGCTGACTGATAAATATTGAATTATTATAATGCCATTTTGAGGACATTAATCATCAATTGTATTCTTAATGACAACCAACAAGTACAATCAAGTTTTGCAATTATGTCTTTCTTCAGTGATGCACTAATGTGGTTAACAATTCCAGACATTTGTAGGAACACCATTCTGGATGGCACCAGAAGTGATTCAAAATTCAGAAGGTTATGATCAAAAGGTATAGCTGCTTGTGACGTCTCATTGAAGCTTCTTTAATTATATGCATATATATTCTTGCTGCTGAACTTCTCATCTTCTTACTGTCCCTCTCTCTCGCATATTTGTCTATCTACCTGGCACATGCATACACACAAATTGATATGTCTTGTTATAAATATTTTCTTAATTTGTCTGGTGCAGGCAGATATTTGGTCTTTAGGAATAACTGTGATTGAGATGGCAAAAGGAGAACCGCCACTAGCAGACCTTCACCCTATGAGGGTGCTCTTTATCATTCCTCGAGAAAATCCACCACAGGTTTCCGCAGCAAAATGCTTGCTAAAAAGTGACACATTGCAGATGGAAATATCAATTTTTTATACTTAAAAGTAATTATGATTCTGGCTTTATTTTCCAGTTGGATGAACATTTTTCTCGCCCTATGAAAGAATTTGTTTCATTGTGTTTGAAGAAAGCACCTGCTGAGGTGAGTATTTCTTCTGTCCATCAAATTTTACTCTTTCTGTTCTGTCATTTTTCTTTTCTAGAAAATCTTCTGTTGAGCTTTTCAGGAAGAAAATATTCTTGATGATTCTTTTTCTTTATTCTCTGTGTCTTCCCACACCCCTCCAATGGTTTTATTTCAGAGACCAAATGCCAAGGAACTTCTGAGGCATCGTTTTATTAGGAACGCCAGGAAGAGTCCAAGGCTTCAAGAGAGAATAAGGTTTGATTCATAGCCATATGGTTCTCACCCTCTTAGTGTCTAACGACTCTTGTTGTTTCTGGTTTCCATGTATCTGTTTGGTTATATATGAGATGTTGACATAAATTTTACATAACGCAGCTTCAGCTTGCTGAACATAAGGCATATGTTCAACAAAAAATGATATGTTTGTTGCAATGTAAACAAACTACTTAATAGGTAATGGTGCTTAACATCTTGTTGATATACTGCCTCCTTTGACTTGATAGAGAACGGCCAAAATACCAACTGAAGGAAGATGCAGGAACTCCTAGAAATGGTCCAAAAGCTCTTGGAGAGGCATCGGGTACTGTGAAGGTCACAAGAGATGTGAGAGGGGAAGAACTTACTGGAACTAGGTTGGTTTATTCTGTTGATTGCTAGTGGATTCTTTTTTTGCAACTGAATTCTGAATGAGTTGTAATCTGCAATAGTCAGGGGAAATCTTTTAAAAATGCTGGCTGGGACTTTAGCCTTGGTGGCTCAGGGAGTACCGGAACTAGTCAAAGTGCTTCAAGACCTCCTCAAATCAGGGAAAAGAAACTGGAAGTTTCTTCTGCTCAGGTTACGCAAAGAAGATCTCAAGAATATGGTAACCAACTGTCACCTTCATCTGGAAATGCAATTAATGAGTTCTCTGAGGTTTCTTCTGCAAAAGGAGATTCCTATCTTGATCAACATCAGGATGGTTTATATGAAGATGTAAGGGGTCTCTCTCTCTCTCTTTCTCTCTCTCTGTGTATAGTGTGCATGTGAATTTTGGATGTTGCATATTGATGGATGAAAAACCAAATAGTTTTTTATATGGACCCAGCATTTAGGCTAATTTGGGTATATTTTGGCTCTTGTTCATGATATGTTTGTGCTTGTTTTCTATGAAAATTTTTTAAAAACTTATCGAACATGATATTGCTTATGTTCTTTTTCAGAAAAAATAAATAAATAAATGTTATTAGCTAGGCCCTGAGGGACTTCTGCTAAATGCAAGGGATTACAAATCATCAGAAGACAAAAGGTTTATAAGGTTCACGGATTCATTTCCATCTTTTTTTATATTACCCAAAATTAGAGATAGGAATAAGGTTGTGGAACTTCTTCTTCCATTTACAAACTCTCAAGCCCTAACATCCCATACTTGTCTGCCATTAAACCTAAATTATTGATGACAAGTTGAAAAGGCTAACCATAGAATCTCACAATCTTTTAGCCTGAACACAAAAGAAGGAGATGATGATTTAGTGAATTGTACTCCCAAGGACACAAAGGCAGCTCATTGACAATAAGTTTAGCCCTATTCCCTGAGTATATATCATAAAACATCCCCCAGTACAACCTAGGGGATGCCTTACTCTTCAGAGTTTGCTTCCACATGAATCTGAAGGTCATTTCATTGTGAGATCAAAGATTATTTTTGTACAAGGATTTCATTGGAAATTCGGAATCTTTAGAAAGGGACCACACAGGAATATCATTGATGGAAGGGATCCCCCTGCACTTGGCTAGAAGGGCCATCAATTCTAGGAGATCAGCGACTCCTAGTCAATAAGGTCCCTTGACAATTGAATAGTCCAAATGTCCCTATTGGTCAAACTGTGTTAAATCACTACCGGCCACCTCATTGGCATTTGGCCAAATCAAAATAGTTGGGAAGACACTGTCTGAGGGATATTTTCCCGCTATCAGGCAGCAGTCCTCCTAAAAACTCATTGCCTTACCATTGTAACCTTAAACAAGATCTGCCTATGCCTATAGATAAGTTAAATCTATCTGTTTTTTCCTTACTGTCTCAATGCATGAACTACTTATTTGGCCCCTAAAATACTTGATGAGGCTTGACCGGTCATTAGTGAATCAACACGAGTTGGTTCACAAGCCAATCTGCCTTTTTTAGTCCTCTAACCTTGCACTTCAGTTCCTTACTTGGCCTGGATCACCTTGCATAGAGATACCCTTGCGTGTCATGAATCTCCACAACTATTTGGCTAGTAGTGATTTATTTAGGTCAGTCAAGGATTTAATGGCAAATTCTTAACTAGGTTCCAAGA